CTCAGACCACTCTGACCACGCCCCACCAGGCCACGCCCCCACTGACACCCCGCTCCACCCCGCGCAGTCCCGCCCCTTGGTGGCTCCACCCCGTGAAGCCCCGCCCCCAGTTTGCGCCCCATGTTCGCCCCCTGCTTGGCTCCACCCCACGCAGCCCCCGCCCCGGGCCCCGCCCACACCCTCCACCCATGCAGCCCCACCCCATACATGGCCCACCCCTGCTCGGCTCCACCCCATGCCCCGCCCCAGTTGGCTCCGCTCCATGCAGCCCCCGCCCACTTGGCTCCACCCTGTGCAGCCCCACCCAGGTCCCGCCCCCTGCAAGACCCGCCCACTTGGCTCCATCCCCATGCAGCCCCACCCCTCCCGCTGTCAGTCTGGGCCCCACCGCACGCACTCCACCACCGACAGCCCCTCCTCGTCTGAAGGCGTGGTCTCGTCCTCTGACTGGTCACTCAGCAGGTCGCAGGGCAGCAGTACTGAGCTCTCGGCCAGCTCTAGGACTGGTGCGATGCTGGGCCGCCGGCTGCCCGAGCCGTTCTCCGTGGGCAGCGCTAGCTTGTCTCCTGTGGAGCTCTGTGGTGGGCGGCACTCTGCGTTCTGGAGGTCCATGGCCATGGTGCCTGGAAGAGCGGGGAGTGGGTGCTTGGGCCCAGCCTCAAGGGAGCAGGTCCCCAGAGTCCGGAGTCCTCGCTACTCTGAGCCTTGTCCATCCCCCAAGACAATGGTGGCAGTGGCCCCTTAGGTGAGAGGTGCTGGGCAGGTCGCTGCAGGCCCCTGGCACTGGGTCTTTCCCCAAGTCAGTGACCAGTTGGAACCAGAGGGACTCACTCAGATAGGCAATCACCAGGGTGGACACAACCCTCAGTGTTCACAGGAATGGCCATGCCCCTCAGCACTGAAGGTCTGCCAAGAGAAGGCTGGGGACCTCCCTGCTGCCAGCCAGCTGTGGTGCAGTGGCCCTGGGGCCACAGAGCGGCCAGGTGGCTCCTGTGGGTTCTAGAAGTCCACTGAGGAGGTGGCATGACAGGTCAGCATGGGTGACCAGCCTAGTTGTCCCCAATTCAAGATGAGCCTCACTCCTTGGAGGGTCCACAGGGACCATGTGCCCCCTCTCCAGGGTGCACAGTGGGTACTCTAATGTCATCCCGCTACCTCGGTCAAGGACCTTGTCCAGTGCTGTAGGAAGCACTGTGCCCAGACCATTGGCCCCCCAGCCTCAGGGGCCCATGGGGATGCATGACGAGACCAACACACAGTCCAGGAAGGGGGTGAGGTGGAGAAGCAGGTGCAGGACACGTATGATCCCATCTACCAACCCCTACTGTCCACCATCCACCATGCTCCTCTGTCCACCCAGCCTCTCTGTCCTCTACGCTCCTCTGTCCACTCAGCCCTTCCATCCTCCAGGCCCTCTGACCGCTTGCAGTCTCTTGGGTCTTCCACTTCATTGACCGCTGTCCCACTCTACCAAGATGCCACTGGGATCCACACTCCAGGACCGCAGCCCTGGGTGCTGGCTGGGATCCGGGAAGCCTTTTCAAGCAGGCACCAGGGAACCCGTGGCACCCATCTGGGAGATGGGAACATAGAGCCCCAGATTCGAGACCGTCCACCCTCTCCCAGCTTGGACTCCAGGCCCCCAGCTACCCCCTCCCGCCCACACCCCAGCCCCTCGCACCTACAGAGGCGATGATGCTGTGCACAGGCAGTCGAGAGGGCCCCTCGTACAGCCCCTGGCCCGGGCAGCCCTGCCGTCGCTGCTTCTCCTCCTGCTTAAAGATGAAGGCTGAGTTCTCCTCCTTGGTGATGTTGATGTAAAAGCAGGTGTCCGAGGCGGCCAGCGTGTGCCGGGGCCCGGGGTTCAGCAGGATGCTCTTGTGCTCCTCTCGCTTCAGCCCGATGAGACACACACCATACCTGGAAGGAGACACACACCACACCTGGGGTGAGGTACACACACCACAGCTGGGGCAGACACACACACCACACCTGGGGCAAGACACACACCACACCTGGGGCAAGACACACACCACACCTGGGGCGAGGCATACACCACACTTGGGAGGAGACACACACACCACACCTGGGGTGAGATTACACACACCACACCTGGGGCGAGGTACACACCACACCTGGGGCGAGGCCACCTTTGTCCCCCCCTCCCCACGGGCCTCCCCTTGGCCACCTTCATCCCCTCCCCCACGGGCCTGTCCTCGGCCACCGTACTTCTTATGTGCGTGGAAGGCGGCGTAGGTGAAACTCTTGCCCTCATACTCTCGGAAGAACTTGCTGTCGCCCATGCGGATGTGGTAAACCTCGTTCCCGGAGCACCGGCCATACATGCGCTGCCACTGCTCAGGGGACTCCTGTCCCTCCCTGCGGTGGGTAGGCCGTCACCTTGGCAGGGAGGGGCTGCGGGTGGCTCACCTCCCCCAGGGTGTCCCCCGCTGCCCGTCTGTCCCCACTCTCCACCCCTCCCCTGTCTGCAGCATGCCCTCGCCCCCTACCCGGAGAACTCACTGGCCTCGTGAGGTGTGCACCAGCAAGGTGATGAGCGTGGACGTGGCCGGGCAGATGCAGTTCAGGGCCAGCATGGCGTACTTGCACTCCTCCTCACACACCACATGGTCTGCGGGGACCTTCCTGGTCACGCCCTCACCTCACACCCCCCTCCCACGGCCCCAACTGAGGGCAGGAGTCCTGCCTGACCGAGCTCCCAGGTGCAGTGCACGAGGTGGGCAACCCAGACGCAGTGGGACGTGGGGCGTCCCCACCAGAGCGCACGTGCCCAGAAGCGCGCCGGCCCCACCCTCCGGCCACCTCACGTGCCTGCGAATTTGACGTGGAATTTGTTCTCCGGCTTGAGGATCTGCACGTAGAGGGGGCAGTTGGGGGCAAAGTCCTTCACAGCCCAGGCGCGCAGGATGGTCTGGTGGTCCTGAGGGCGAGGTGTGGTCAGAGCGAGTGCGGCAGGCCCCTCTTGGGGGGCAGCTGCAAACGGGGCCCTGGCCCTCGGGCTGTCCCCTCACTCACTGCCGCCGTGCGGTCCACCTCATTCCGGCTGCTGAGGATGAAGCAGGCCTCCCCGTTGTCCATCCTGCGAAGCACCACGGGCTCAGGGCTGCCCTTCGGGGCCAGGAGGCCTGGGATGGGCAGCCCAGCCTGGGAGAGGGGAGGGACCCTGGGGTGGGGAGATGCCGCTGGACCTCAATGGTCTAGGAAGCCTGGGGGGGGTGGGTAGGAAGTCCATCCTGAGAGGGGAGGGGGAAAGAGAGGCACTGGGCTGGGGAGATGTGGCTGGATCTCGAGGGATCCTGGGCTGGGGAGACACAGCTAGACCTCCATGGGAATGTGTCACACGTGGAGGTGCATCACACGTGGAGGTGCGTCACACGTGGAGCTGTGTCACATCTGGAGCTGTGTCACATCTGGAGGTGTGTCACTGGTCTGGTAGTGGTCCTGAGTGACCAGACTCCTATCGGGCCCAGCCTCCCAGGCTATATCGCAGGAAGCAGATAGGGGGTCCAACGGGCTCCTACCACCAGCTCCCCAAGACCCCTTGAAGCCCTGCCCCCCAGTGCTCACTTGGCCCGCATGAGGTCCTGGTCCTTGAGGGCCGAGCCCTGGAGGTAGATGACTCGCTGGGACCACAGGGGAATCTGCAGGACCCTGCGTACCTGCACGTCCATCTCCGTGGGGCACAGGATGACCACGTAGTAGTCCTGTGGGTAGGCCTGCATCAGCCCAGTTTCCTGCACGCCCCACCTCCCCAAGGCCTCTCTGATGTCGCTGTGGAACTGTGTGAGGGGAGGGACCAGAATCCCCCAGCCCAGCCCTCCTCGCAGGCAGGCCAGGATAAGGCAGGAGTGCTCCAGGGCTGGAGCGGTGCAGGGGGCTTCGAGGAAGGGCGACGTACCTGGAGCCGGGGGTGGGCGTAGAACTCATTCAGGAAGTCCATGAGGAGGTCGATCTTGAGAGAACTGACACACAGGATCACGTGCTTCTCTGTCTGCGCCCGGTGGCGGCTGTAGTTGCCCCCGGACTTCTGCCGCTCCATCCAGAGGTAGACCAGCTCCTCAAACTGCAGGCACAGGGTGAGCCCAGGAGGCTGGTCACATCACGAGGACCACAACCTGGCCAACGCCAGTGGGAAGTAGGGACATCAGGGCTGGAGGCTGACCAAGGGCAGTAGAGGCAGCACAGGAAACCCAGGAAAGGTGGGTGTCCAGGGAGATGGGCCTTGTCCACCTCCCACCCTGGAAGACCCCAAAGTGCAGCCCCTGTGCGTTCAGACTTTGGAGGAGCCCTGCAGGTGATAGACACCGGGGACATGATGCGGGCACACTTGGGGACTCTGCTGGGATGCCAACGACCATGCCTCGTATTTACCACTGGAGATGTGGTAGTTTTGGTGCTGACAGAGCCCTGGCTGCCCTGGGGAGAAATGGACTGTCCCCTCCCAGCGTATTTACGGCATCGCTGCCCAGGTTTGGGCCCTGGTTACTGGACGTGTGTCCACACAGGTGACCACAGGCTCCCGCGCTTTGCTGGTGCCTCCGTGGCACTGTCTGGGGTGGGACTGTCCCAGCTACACTCTGGTCATGGGTTCCACACCTATCTGACAGCACAGTGGCCACAGCGGGCAATGCATTCTGACCTTGCTGGTCTCACTGAGCTGCTGTGGGATAAGCCCAGCCTGAGCACAATGAGGCTCCGCCAAGGCTGGGAGGGGATGGAGAAGCTGCCCTGGTCATGGGCTCAGTGGGCCTGTCTGCACGGGGGGTGATGGAGGCTGCCTTGAGACACTGCTGGCGGGCTGGATGGCGTGGACTCAGCCCTTAGTGGGCACAGGGTCAGCTGTGGTCACTGCCTTTTCCTGGAAGGTCCACCCTCCTGAGCGAGGTCTCCTAGCCTCATCCCTCTCTGGCATTCACTGTGAACTTGGATGAGTGGAAGAGGGTGGGAGGGTCCTGGGTGGGAGGGTCCTGGGTGGGAGGGTCCCCATCACTAGTAGGTGGTCAGTCTTTCTGACTCAGTCAGAGAAGGGGGAGGCTGCACACGAAGAAGGGTCAGCACTGCCCTGGAGTCTGATCACCCACAGTCCTCAACCTGGCCGAGGTGGCCTGTGCCTGCCTGGTGCCCCTGCAGGCCCTTCTGTCTTGGGAGGGTGACTTGGGGGCTTGAACATGTAGCCTGACCACAGGGCAGAAGCAGAAAGGATCGTACTTGTCCTTCCCTCCTGTGAACAGGGCAGGACCCAGACAGAAGCTTCCCCCAGTCACATCACAAAGGTACAAAAAGCCCCTTAAACTGACCTGCAGGGGCCCACAGACCCTGCCCTGTCCACTCACTGCCCCCGCACTGGGCCAACTCTGCAGATATGAGCGCTGGGCTCTGGTCTCAGTTGCCCCACCTTGACCGCTGGGCCTCCAGTTTATCAGACCCCAAGGGAGGACACTGTCCACCCTACCTGTCCCTCAGGCCTCGAGCTCAGTCCTTACCTGCAGGGGAAGCACCACGAGGGCCACACAGATCATGATGACCACCAGCAGCTGTGATGGCCAGATCTGTGGAGTTACGTCCCCGTAGCCCACGGTGGAGAAGGTGACAATGCAGAAGTAGAAGGAGGTGAGCAGGGACAGGTTCCCACCAGAACGTTCCAGGTGCTGGATGCCACAGGTGCTGCAGGTGGGAGGGAGAGGTGCCCCTCAGTGACCGTGTCCTGGTCCACCCAGGCCCGAACCCTCACATAGCTGACCCTGCAGCCCCTAATCCTTACCAAAATCCAGGCACCCCTCAACTCTCTGGTATCCCCCAGACCTGCTCTCAGCTGGACCTTAGGATGAAGGGCCTCACTTGGCTCAGTCTCCCTACTTGGTACCATATCGAGCAGATCCCTCAGGCTTGGGAGAGCCAGACCCTGGGGCCACACTCAGAGCCCCTGCGTCACCTAATGCCCACCAGCAGACCCCCCTAGCCTCAACCTGTGAGGCTAGTGGTAGGCACTTTGTTGGGGTGGACGCAGAGGCTGGGGGTGGTCTCAAAGGCTGCTCTGCTCCCCAATATTTCACCCACTTGTGAGCAGTCATTTCAGGACTGCCTTCTGCTGCCCACACGGGGCTGTTGCTCACTGACCACTGCGTGAGCATTTCCCACTTCCAGCAGGACTCAATTCACAAGCGGCCCCGCTGCCACCCCCACACCCCCATCAGTCACTCCCTGGGCCCCATGTGTGGGTGTCCCTTATCCCCACACAGATACCCCTATCATCTGAGCCTCCCCCTACGTGGTGCTCTCTACTGCATCCCTGCACATGGGCACTCCTGCCCAACCTGGCACCCCCCATACCTGAGTGCCCCCAACACCCCCCCACCACACACGGCTGCCCCGTGCTGCCCTCACCCGGTGAAAACGAGGCACAGCAGGGTGCAGAACAGGATCAGGACCTGGTTGAACATGGCCGACTGGGTCCTCAGGATGGCACGGTGGAAGTCGTTCTGTAGGAGGGCATGTCGTCAGGGGACAGGATCAGAGGGGCTGGGGGGCCAGGGACCTGGGGGCCCAGGGAGCAGGGGGTCCAGGGACCCAGGGGGCAGGGGGGCCAGGGACCTGGGGAGCCAGTGACCTGGGGGGGCCAGGGACCCAGGGGGCGGGGGGCTAGGGACCTGGGGATCAGGGTCAGCTGGCCACCCAGCCAGCAGATCCTATGGGTCCATCTCCACTCTGCCCAGGGTCTGGTCAGGGGCTCAGATGGCAGTGAGGGTGGGGCTGGACCTGGACAGCAGGCCACCTTGGTGGAAACTGGCTCTTAAGGAGACTAGGCCCCCCTGAATAGCTCAGGGGTTCACTGTCAAGGAATGTGATTGGGGTCCCCTACCCAGGAATGCTTTTGGGAGAGTTGGAACAGGAACAGCCTTGGTGGTCCTCAGGAATGAACTTGGGGTCCCCTTGGGGATCAGCCTCAGGGTCCCCTCCCAGGGATGGAGGTCCCAGGTTCTATTATTTAGAGATAGGAAAGTATGGACTTCTGGAGGTGTCAACCCCAGAAAGGCAGTGCTTGTGTGCAGGTGCACATGACGAGATCTGGGGGCTGACTTTCTCTGCAAGGTGCAGGTGTGGGTTTGGTGGGCTCTATGGGCCGAGGCCTTTCTCTGTAGAGTGTGGCTGCGGCATTCTGTGGATGGGGGCATTCTGTGAGCCCCCCCAGTAGCCCTCTTACGATCATGTTCTCCAGCGCGTGCTTGGCCAGCCAGCAGTTGAGGAACACGGGGATAAACAGGTTCCGCAGCGGTGGCCAAAAGATCTGGGGGCAGAGCGAGGGTCAGGGGGCCGCTGGGCTCAGGGGCTGCTGGGGCAGGGGACACCCACCGTGATGATGAAGGGCAGGGTGTTGATCATCTCCAGCACAAAGGAGACCCGGAAGATCTGCTCCCAGATGTTGCCCTGGGGAGCCAGGGAGGGTTCAGAGCCGGGCGAGGGGAAAGGAAGGACAGGGGCGGGGTGGGGTGGTGGAGGGGGGCAGGGGTGGAGGCAGTGAAGGGGGAGGGAGATGCAGCGAGGGCATGGGGGTGGGGAGGCATTGAGGGTAAGGGGTGGGGGAAGGTGGGGGAAGTTGGTGGGGGATTAGGGGAGGGCCAGGGAGGCTAAAGGGGAAGATGGGGGTGGGGCAGGGAGGAGGGATGAAGAAGGAAGATGTGAGGTGGAGGAGGGGCCGAAGGGAAAGGTGAGGAAGATGGGAGGGGCTGAGGGGCTGAAGGAGCAGGTGGGAGAACTTGGTAGGAGGTGGAGGACTAGCTGAGAAAGGTGGGCGGGGCTGAGGGGAGGGAAGAGGGCTGGGGTCCAGGGCCCACCTTGTAGCTGAGATACATGATGAGCATGGTCTCCAGGAAGCTGATCACGGCCACGATGACCTGGAGCCAGGACAGGGGAGCACTCAGGTGGCGGGGGGCGGGGGGGCAGGTAGGGTCTCAGCAGATGGTGAGGTTTTGGGGCTACCACCCTCTGTCCAACACTCTTCCTGTGCTGCCAACACCCTGGGCCAGGCCTCTTAGGACCCAGCCTGGCCATGGACCCAGGTCCCCTAACCTCTTCTGAGGGCCCCCGAGGCCAGTCTGGTCAGGACTCCATTGGGGGACACAGCTACGGATGACAATACAGGGCACCCCAACTCCAGGGAGACCGTGCTCTCTGGCCTGTCCAGCCTTACTCACCTGAACGGCCCACAGAGCCAGCTTCCTCTCCACCCACAGGATGGGGGCCCTGTGAGGGAACAGACAGTGAGCCCTGTCGCAGAGCTGCTGGCCCCTTGGGACTGGTGGAGGGGGAAGGGCTGCCAGTCAGCAAGACTGCCCACCTCAACCCAGAGCTCACGGGCTCAGAGCAGACGGGCCCAGCTGAGCTCTCAGGTGGCCAAGGGGCCTCCCTTTCTGCCTGGGCCTCTGAAGACAAGCTCAAGGACCACACCCAACATACCTGGTGCTAGCGGGCTGACAGGCAGTAACACGCTGATTGGTGCTACTGACCTGCGCACCTCTTGGCTTTCAGACCTCATCCCAAAGTCAGGGTCATGGGATGGTGAAGTGAACTGGGGTGCATGCTTGGGGGTAGATGCAGCCTACCACCTGCACCCCCCCCAGTGCCAGGAAGAATGACCAGTCCACAGGGAGCAGGTCGCTGAGCTCACGCCCATGGCCAAGGAGGCCCAGACCCTTGGGGGTGCAAGGCTAGAAGGCTCCAGGCAGTGGGGGGAGACAGCCCCCCAGGCTGGGGTCACTGCAGGTCCCCTGTGTCCAGCCTCAGGGATCAGAATGTAGAACCCCAGGCCTTGCAGGGAGAGCCTGGACAGAGGTCGGACCTGAGCGTGGAAGCCCGAGGCCTCTAACTATGGGTCTGGGAAGACAGCTGCCCAGCAGGGTGTGAGCTGTGTAGGGGGTGGTGGGTGACAGCTGTGCCCCTCTACTCTGCACGGCCAGTGTCTGTGGATGGTGAGGGTGCAGGAAGAAGGCGAGGGAGCAGCCCTGCCCAGTGGGATGGACGCTAGGCTGGGAGTCTGGGGAAGACCTAGGAAGAGGCTCCCCGTGAGATGACTGATATGTTTCCTTCTGGTGCCGCGTGAAGTGACCCTATGTTGCCAGGCCACCCCTCTGCTCACTAGGGCAACCTCTACCTTTGTGGAGAGTATAATGAACTGAACTTCTGTTCAGGTGACGGAACACCTCGGGACTGAGGAGGTGCACAATACCACTGAATTGGACATGGTGGCTTCCAAGCTCCAAGTTGGTAGTTTGAATCACCAGGTACTCTGAGAAAGACAAGGCATTCTGCTCCTGGAAAGGTGACACCTGGGGAGGGGCTGCCTGCCTTAGAGGAGGGGCT